ATAAGAACATTTCCTTCCCAGCAGCCCTAGAAAGAGGCCCCCCTGCTCCCTGGTCCCAAGGGCAGCAGCACAGCCTACATGTATTAAGTGTAACTATGAGTGGGTTACTGCTTTAAGGTTTTATATGAACTGATGTGTTTGGCCCTCCAGACAACCTAATTGGGTAGGTGGAATTATTATACGAACTCTTTAGATATGGAAACTGAGCCAGTGACCAAATAAGTATTGAAACCAAGCTTCAAATCCAGGCAGTATACATGCAGTCTGGGCACTAAATTATTAAGCTCCACTCTCTCTACTGGGATGAAGCCTGCAAATTCAGTCTCTTGTTGAGGTTTTGTGAGAGACCAATAAATAACTCTCGCCTGAGCTCTGACCTCATTGGGAAATAAGAGAATCGGCAGGAGGCCAGAACATTACCTTCATTAATACAGAGACAGTGCTGGAAGAGGGGGCCCTCTGCGAAGGCCAAAATGGACTGGCCATCTGTCCTCCCTCCAGGCTGGACCTTGCAGCAGCCATCTGCCCTGCTGATCGGGAGGAAGCCAGAAAGTGAAAGAGATCTCAGTGAGAAATGAGGGCCACTGCTGTCGCCCTCCTCCCTGAAGAATGGGGGGTAGAGACTGGGTCTAAAGGCCAGGAGTAGTTAAGAGAAGTCCCTCCCCACAGAGACCAAGAGTGTAGAGAAAAGATGATCCCGCAGTCTGCTTTCAAGCTTTTCTCCGTGAAGATCCCCTCCATCGTCTGCTAAACCAGCACTGCCCACGCGGCACTCACGCGGGTCTTCCTCTCTAGGCCTTCAAATGATCCTTTATTCCAGTTAGAAGTCTCTGTGCTCAGTGCTGTTGTTACCCCTCTGCAGGAAAATTAGAAGCAAGGCGTCCTTTTCAACTTACTCTGAATTGGGAAAGATGGAGCGTTCCTCGTTAAAGTGCAATTTTCACGGGGAGGCCTGTTGACCCAACACAGTGAATATCTACTAGAGAAATTTCAAGCCACAGCATGGTGCTGCAGGAAAGATTTTTGAGCAGGGAGAGCCTGCTCTGGGTACATTAGGCAACAAACTATCATATCAATTCATACAACTGGCTCTGCCCATCTGCGTAAAGGCCTAGTCTACACGGGGCTTTTCCAGTGCTGTTTTACTGTTCTCAGAGTCGCAGGCCACCAGAGGAACAGTCAGCTCCCACACATTTCCCAAAGGTTCACTGGGTCTCCTTCTGACCGTCTCAGTCCATGTCTCCTCCCGTGACAGTCAGGACTCTGTCTGTCTTTGTACAATAAGAAAACTCCCAGATGACGGTAATGTAAATAATAGATGTTTAATCTTCTCTAGGGTAGGTAATGCTGGAGTTGGAGACTCTAGGTTCAATTTGATGGCTCGGTGAAGCCCTCGGTGACCTAAACCCCTTCTATATCTCTTCTCCACTCTCGCTACAATGTCTTCATGGTTCATTGTGGCTGCAGGTGCTCTATCCTGTGCATCCACGTTCCAGACAGCAAACAGTGTGAGACAACGAAGAGAAGGAGAAGAACGTGCCAGGAAGTCTCATATAACACTTCCATCCATATTTGGGCAGAATTCAGCCACATGGCTACTCTTTATGTATCTGTTACCTAGTGCCACATAGCAAACAACCCCAAAATTACTGCGGTGTACAACATTAAGCTTTATAAGAAATTGACAGCACATTGTTAAAAGATACATACTGTTCGGCATGCCAAGCATTATTAGTACATATTTGCAGATTGGCTAAGGTTCTGCTCATCCTGCCTGGCCTCAGAAGTTCTCAGACTGCAGGGGTTGAGCGAATTCTACCTGTAGGTCTGTGTTTCAATTCAATGACTCAGTCCCCTGTGTCTTTCATCCTCCTTGGGCCAACCGGCCAGCCAGCCAGGACATGTTCTTCTGAGGTCCAAAGAGCAGGTGGAAATGGGTGACACCTGTGAGGGTCTAGACGCAAAACTGGCTCATTACCACTTTAGCTCACACGCTCTTGGCCAAGGCTCAGGCATAAGGGTAGGCCCAGGGTCAAGGAGCAAGGCGTACAATCCTTCCACGACTGTGCAGGTAGTTAGACAGTAGAGGGCTTGAGGGACAAAATAGTCAAAAATAAAATGTCTGCCAGTTACAGGTAAATGAAGAAAGCTTCACTTATTATACACTTGTAGCTAGTCCAAGAGACCTCAATGTGTACTATATTTGTAATCGTTTATTAGGTCATTTTTGAGATATCAACATTCCAAAATAACCCCTAAGAGAAATACCGAAAAACATGATATCACCCTCATTCCCTCAACCCCAGCAGTGAGCCTTGTGTGCATAAAAAGGGACCCAAACTCCGACTTGAGACAGATGTCATTGTGACACTGCCTGCCTTCTTGCTTGAAGACATAACTCTCTCCATTCTGCTTTACAGTAAGTTCTACCTGTACTACTGCATGGCTGCCTTTGTCTCTTGAATGAACTCTTTCACCAAAGTCACAAAGAACCCAGAACCAAAGAGCAATGGCCTGGCTCCTCACAGAATCAGGACCCAGCTTCCCTGTGACACCATGATGAGGACATAGCAGTGGCCTGATTCAGAGTAGGGTGGAGAAATGGAGCCAGGTCAGGCTACCCAATCTTGCAGGGAACCTAGAAAAGTCATGTTCTGGTTAAATCACAGACTTTGCTAAAGAAGGGAAGAGCAGGAATCCAGAGACGGTTGTCACTATCACTACACACTCTCACACGTTCTATTGACTTTGTGAAGTACAAAGACTTCCATAGTTCAAGGTCATTGTTATTCTTGTCCTCGCCTTAAGACAGTGTTATGGAGAATTGAGAGCCACTCATAAGAAGTAAAGAAGAGGGTGTAGGGGTTGCACATTAAGATTGTCATGGGCCTCCACTTACAAGTGTTCTCCACTTTGGAACAAGTGAGGAAGAATGATTTTTTTAAAATACAGTATCTCAAAGCCTGTGCTGAGGAAGATCAGATTCAACATTAGCACCAGAGGTGCCCTGGCCAGGAAATACCGATGTGCACTTCAGAGGCCTCAGGGCCCTGTGTCCTGGCTGACAATGTCTGCCTCCTATGCTGCCGTGGAAGGCACCCACTTGCCAAATCCTAACCTACATTTCCAGCCTTGGTCCTCACTTCCCCTCACCATATGGTAGACTTTCCACAGGTACCCATCACTCATTCTTATTTGCTTTTTATCTACCTGGAAGGCTGCCCCCCTGCCCTCCTGATGGTCAAAGTCCTCCCCATGTACCAGCATGAGGTCCCGATGGATCCTCCAAGCCACAGGTAATTCCCCCCTCTACCCCACTCAGTCTGGCCTTGTCCCGAATCCTTCTGTGGTTCCCAGTACTTCCTACTGTATGTGAGGGCCCCAAAGATGCAGGTCCTAAACCCTAGCACACTGCGGGTGCCTGCGAGAGAAAGACTCGGTCTTACTCATGTTTCCTTGCACGTTGTAACTCTGAGCTCTGTTCCTCAGACAAAACCCACACTCACTATTTGCTCATTTAACTCTTACAAATATATTTCTGAGTATCTGCTGTGTGCCACAAACTGCTAGGCACTAGTTGAGCCATTTGAAAGGCATTAGAGGAGCTTTGGATTGCAAAGCCTCCACTCCTGCTATGACTCTGAAGACAGCAACAACGCCTCCCACCGTGTCCTTGTGCAAATGTAATTCCCACAAGATGGAGTGTTGTGAGAGGATCTGTGTCGAGGATGGGCTGGAATTGATGACCTTGGGGTTCTGTGCCACGGGGAGACTGAATCCCCAGTTTCAGGAAAGAGGTCCAGAGAACAGAGGCAGAGAGTGACTCCAATGACCAGGAGAAGGCACCTGCAAAGTCCAGGGAGAGGAACAGTTGCCAAGGAAGCACAAGACGAAAGGCTGGATGGAACAGGTCAGCCTCGTCCTCGTAGCAGACATCAAGTGAGCTTGTCCCACAGACCCTCGTACCCTTCTATTATTCACAGTAGGTTGCTCCTGCCATGAATGTGTGGACCCCACACTTCCCACACTTGACCTTACCCTTACTTAGGAATAAACTGGTTCGAGGGGTTATAAAAACACAACAGAGGATCTCCAACTGGTACAGTGTGTGCCCAGCATCTGCTTGGGAATACTCAGAAGAAATGCCACTCAGAGTGCAGAGAATGAGAAAGGGAAGGAGACAGAGTTGATAACGGTGGACACTGAATGATCTGGGCACAGGTGCTTCCACCCCACAGATGACCAGAGGACCCATGCTGGGAAGATAAGACCAGTGCTAAGCTGGCTTTGTGCTGCCCCGTGCACCGGCAGAAGTGGTTTTATGGCCCAGCCTAGGTGTGTGCGTGAGATGCACTGCTGTGAGCTTCTTTGGGGCCAGAGCTCGGCCACAGGATGGACCCCTTACGCTCTTGGAGTAGGGATTTGAGCACTTGCTTTGAGGGCTTTTCGTTTCCCTCCAAGAGTGGCCCAGATCACTCCTGTAGCTGTCCAGTGCCAACTCAGAGGCAGCAAGAGTGTGTCATAGGCACTGTGACAGAGTCAGGCGTCTGGGTCAGCAGGACAGATGGGAGAGACCATGGCACAGGATCACAGGGTGCCATCTCTGGGCAGGGAACACAGGGGCTCCCAAAACACAGGACTGGCACTGGTTTGTTTATTTGTTTAATATGGGAGTCGTCCTAGCAGGCTCTGAGTTCCTCGAGATCTGGGACTGCTTTATTTAATTTTGCCTAGGGCAGTGCAGGAGATTTTGAGATTTTACTGAATTGGAATAAAGTTGAATTGAAAATGGACCAAATAATCATTAAAATATGTGGAGGGACTTAACTTGCTCAGTCTCCTTATGCAGATCTCGGATCTACCCAGACATTCTCTCTCTCTCTTTCTCCCCTTCTCTTCCCCCACCTCCTCTCCCTCATTTTCTCTCTCTCTCCTCCCCATGAAGGATAATTAATAATTCAGCAAACAATAGTGCATTCTGGTGGTCAAGAATATAACAATTTAATTGATATTTGTTTCTGCTACAGCACAACAATATCTCACTTTCCCACGAGGGCAATTTGCCATGGCTGTTCCAGGCTTCTCACAATAAAACCAATCAAACCTAGGAAAACCTGAAGTCCATTGGTTAAGAAAGCAAGATAGTGGGCAACGGGCTTGGAACAGACACAACCTCTCAATGATTACGTTTTAAACACCGATATTTATTTAGGGTTTTGTGGACGCATACATTATTAGGATAAATTCTAATTTATATCTGTATAGAATAGGCAAATATATAATACAATAAATTGCATTTATACACATAAATACAAAATCTGAGGTAGGGCCTCAAGAATGACTTAGCAAGTGAATAATTCACAGTATATAATATGTACTCTAGAAGGTATCTATGATGCATCATTTGCAACATAATATATTTTCTTCATGTACAGTTAATGAAAAAATATAAGGACCTGATTAGCGAACATATCTTTATTCCTGTGTAACAATATCCACTGAAGATGCTTGCATTTAGGATATTATCCAAGTACACAATTTAAGAAGTAAACTATCCTTTGATAGGTCCGTAATAAAGTGCAAAAAAAAAAAAGAGCAACAAACGAGAGAGAAAACAATTCCTGGTGAATTCCCAAGTATCGCCTTAACAATAAAAATACACCTAGAAGGCAAATGGTCACCTGAAGATGTATTTCATCCATGGCAGGCAAATCAAACCACCGCTCGCTTTCCAAGATGATGAATATTCAGTCTGAAAACACTTTCTCTTTGGCTGCAGGCTGCTCAGATGTGCCCGGAGCAGAGACCACCTAATTCCTTGGCCTTTCTGGACAGCCAAAGAGAAATCTGGGCAAGACAGGCAGCTTCGCTTTCCAAATCTCAGGGCCACTTTGTGGGAAAACGCATATCTAGATGGAATCACCTGCCTCTGCTTCCAGCCTGCAAGTCTTCTGCTTGATACCCAGGGCGAAGCACCGAAATGCTCACTTGTTGGCCTTGTCCTTTTGTCCCTGTGAGATAACCTGCCATACAGAGCCCCCTCACTCAAGCCATCTGCCTCCAAGAGCCGCGTCACAAACGCAAATCCAGGAGTGACCACAAAGGTGTGATGTTGCCACCACCCACACAATAGCTTTTGTGAAAGCTTCTAGGAAGAGGACAGTGACTGACAGCCAGGAGACAGAGAAGAAAGAAAACTCTACTTTTAGGCATAGGTAAACCATGCCGACAGGAGAAGGTGGACAAGCACACGTAGATAACAAGACAAAAACGTAAATACAACTCAACTCCCAGTATCGCGATGGCATAAAGACATTTCAAGTCTTACCCGAAGATCATTTCATTAAACTCTTTGTAAGGTGCTGCTCACTGAAATACAAGCTGATTACATTTCTTCTATATTAAAAACTCAGTGGAAGCTTCAAAGGCGTTGAGGTCATTCAGATTTTGCACTGATCACCGATTTCATGCAATAAATAAATAGACTGGGGAAAAAAGGAAACAATTGCTAAGGACACATTGGCACATGACAAACACAGCATGTGACAAAAAGATGAAAAGTTGCTAATATATGAGATAGATATTTGCATAAGAAGCCACTACCATTATAGTTAAGAAATATACATGTTTTTCTCTTTTAAGGAAATTACAGGGTTACTGTTTTTCAATATGGCTTGTTTTTCTCTGAATAGGTTTCTGACATCCGTTGGTGTTAGGAAATAATTTCACAAGTGGAAAATGCCCCGAACACTCTGCACAGTGTCCCAATGAAAGTCTTTCCTAAGCAACTCAGTTTTTCCCCAGTTTGAAGGGAACTCTTCGGGTGGCAGGTTACAACCATGCTACTCATTTTATTTTTGTTCAGGTGGGGTTTTTTTTCTTCCGATTAACTGCACATTCGTAATAGCATGGAAGCAATCCGTCTGGTCAGACACATCCCAGCTCTCAGCATCTCGGCCAAGCCCCTAGGAAGCATCACACTATAAACACGAAACGACTGGACATACCTGGAGGCTGAACCATCCGCCAGAGAATGCCTCAACTCCCAACATGACCATAAACACTGACAAAACTAAATTTAAAATCTCCTCATTTCCAGATAAGTTCGGAACCATTCACCTGAGCACGTCTTTTTGAGCAAACTGTATACGAAATTTGAAAACGGTAGGGCACAGAGGTTGGCAGGGGAACCCAGCTGGTTTTGCTGGACAAACCCTAACGCACACAAATACAATATAGATACCCCCAAATACAAAACACTGCCTAATGAGGAGGTCTCCAACCTCACAGCTGAGTTAGAGTGCAGTCTGTAAATGGCAGCATTCATGGGTGGGGAGCACCCCACTCCTTGTAGTAACAGAAGCAATAACTAGCAGAAGTAGGTTCGGTGTCCAGGGTCAGACTCAATTTCAGCCAGGAAGCAAAAGGAAAGCCAAAACCCATTCACCCAGACATGAACAAGCCAATCCCATGAGAGAATGCTGATCAATTTAAGATCTTTTCTTCCACCTTTGGTTTGGAAAGGCTATAGATAATTCCCAGACCTCAATTATTCCTCCCCTCCTCCCTTCCAGACATCAATTGCTGAGGCTAATTTTTGGTACCACCCTGTGCCATCTGGTATGGAAACGGGGTTTCCTCATCAATATGGCTTTCTTGGGAGAAATCTGATGGCAGACAGGTCAGGAAGGCAAACACTAGACAGGCAAGGCCACACTTCAACTTCCTGAAAGTGAGCTTCAGAGAAGATCCGGCTTCAGTTTCTGGGAAAGAGTCTTCCAGGTCTAACTTTGAGAGACGAGGGGAAGAGGACAGGAAGAGAACAGGCAAACATACTGCAGACGAGACACAAAAACCTACATTCAAACCCACCTGTGTTTCCTTTCCCAACACCTTTCCCAGGCTCCTCTGGAAACCTGGACAGTCACAACCTTGTAGGCAAATGGTGATGCTCTTTGCCTTTTTTTAAAAAAAGAAAGAGCGCAGGGGAAAAAATAGCTCAGACATTTCAGGTACAAATGAAGCCATCTTTTTAAAATGCTAACACTAAAGTCTGTTGTTGGGTTTCACTGCTTCTAAACAGGATGAAAATGCCACGCCAATATACAAGATTTGAACTGAATATTTTTTTGCCTGAGACCCTGTAATATGAAGACAAATGAATAAGAAGATGATTGAAATGGTCTCCCCTAAGGGAAACGATTTTAGGTTTAGATATTAATACTATAAAAAAAAGAAAAGCCCAGACCACACTATTCTAAACTCACCATCTAGTGATTTCTAAGATATTTATAAGGACAGAAAACACCACTACGAGTACACACTACATAAGTACATAGCACATTTTAAAAATTTCGTATATGCATGTTCAGGATTTAAGAAGATAATAAAGGTTACGGCTTCTCCAATCTCTGCAGACATATGATTCACTCTCATTAGAGTGCAGTTACAATGAGCACTGTGGATAGGAAACTCTTAAAATTGAATTGGCTAAATGTAGTCTTAAAAGCTATAGTCTTAACTGGATCACTCACTACTTGCCTAAGCTGCATTTATCAGAAACTTCTGTAAACACAGTGACCTAAGCTATGCTACTGGAGCAGTGAATATTATGGTTCCTTTCCATTAAATTCTTCATGTTGCTGATTTCTCTGTGACCACAACTGGCATTTGCTATGAATGGAAAAGTTGAGTAAAAATGAAGACACTATCCATCTTTTAAGAGTTTGCGTCTGATATATATAATATATAGACAGAGCCAGGGTAAGTCTTGTTTTCCCGGAGGTTGAAAGACACAGTATCTACAGTTTATAGAAAAACACTTAGAGAAGACGAGACAAAGGATCATGACACTGAAGCACGATACTAAATATCACACAGAAACCAGAATGGAGCTCTGCTATGAACATACAAAATGAGGCACAAATTATAGGATGGCTTCTTGCGCAGGGAGGAGAAAGGACTAAATGATGTCACAAATATTATTTTTTTAAATAAAGGTGACTAAGGACAAAGAACGGACACTTTCTTAGCCCCACAGCATGCAGGAGAGGAGCATCCAAGTTTGTGGTATCCTTGCTCCAAACGAGGAAATAGGTCTGATGATGAAACTATGAACTTACCAGCCTCAGTGGTGTCCAAATCTACCAGCTTTGCTTTATATTCAAAACAATGCCTGGCCACTGCTGTCCCCCTAAATGTACCGCACCCCAAACTTTGGGGGCCTGAAAGGAATCACTGGATTACAGCTCTGCAATGCTGATACGCCCACCTGAACAGTCCTGAAATTCTGCCCTTCTACACCTGGCATCCCCGTGACAACACACAGCAAATCCTCCTGTGGTAACCAAGACATGTTCGTTCACCTCCTAGCACTCCCCAAGCCAAGGGGCCCCATAGGAAGAGACTATGCTCAGGGAACCAACCCTTCTGGAAACGCACACCATGGACACAAACAGTGCTTCAAGTGGTCCGTGTAGCTCTCACTATAGCATGCCACACTAGGTCCTACTTTTCTACATGACCACACTCATGCATGGTTGTGAACCAAGATATGCAGGGGAAAGAAGCAGAAAAATGAGAGGGAACCTGGGAAAATCGTACGGGGAGGGGGAGGGGCAGAGAGAACAAACAGGATTAAAGTCTGGACCTTTCCACACCACTGGACTAGCACTGGGTGCCCAGTTCCAAATCCTTGACTGGCAGTTTCAGTCCCAGGGAAGAGGTTCCCAGGGGGTCGATCATGTTTTTGTAACGCTCCCCGCGGTGCTGAGCTAAGAATGGACCCCAGTCTGGCTGCGGCGAGCACACCAACTTCAGCCTCTGCAAAGAAGTGGAAGAGACACACGTGGTTACAAAAGTAACGTCCCCGCTAGGACCGTGCTAAGCAGTCGGGACCATGCACATTAGGGACATTTGCCATGGCCCCTGCTGAGGCCAGAACTCTCCCTGCTCAGAGAGAAGGAGTTGGGAAGACCCAGCCCAACAATGAACCAGCCAGACATTAAAAAGACGAGACTCAGTTTGCTTCATTTGAAACTATTTACATCACCCTGCAAGCAATATAACAACGGTGCGTGGTTGTCTTGCCCGAGATTAATAGAGGATCAAGGGCCCAGATTTTAATTATACTTCTTTTCCCTCCAAATGGAGAAAATCTGCAAGCTACTGTCTGTAAAAGACACGCGCTCAATTACTTTTGTTCTGTAGTCTCAATGGTGGATTGCTGCATCAAAATAATTGGATTTTGTTTAGCATATTTCCCAAAAGTATATACATGATCAAGACAAAAAAAAATCCCCAAGTTACACTGCCAAGAGTGAGCAAAGGTTTTAATGTTCCACGGACAAAACAACAAAAAAATATGCATCAGACTTGGTTCTGACTTGAGTAGTGTGGGTTCTTCCAGGCGAGCTAAAAGTAATGGGAGTGTCTCTACTCCATCAACTGAAATTTTTATGGAAAACATAATTTGTCTGGAACATTTTCTAGAAAAAAAAGAAAGAAAACATATTTCTGGCTATATAAGGGGGAATAATTATATGTTTATTACCTATTAAAATGAAGCTGGTTCTTAGAGCTGTTAGTTTAATCTCCCCTAATCATCCTTTTGCAACCTTTGTGTCCCCGATCAACCGTAATAAATTTGTATGGCTGACTCACTGGTTTAGAGAATTTAGCCTAAGACAACAGAAGCAGGAGCTAAACTGGGTTCTGTTCCAAGGGAAAGTGATTTCTGGGCCTCACTGTGGGGAGGTGCATCTGGGGCACGCGTAAGTCCTCTCTGGAGGAAAATGGGGCCATAGCTACTTTATCTCAAGGCGATGATGAGTGGGCCTTCCCGAGGATGCAAAGCAGAACAGGGCTTCGGTAACAAGACCCCATGCCTCCCCATGCCAAGGCCCCTCCACCTGCAGGCAGAGGGGTACAGAAGCTACCTGCCCCATGCGGCCTGCTTTCCCTTCCATGCCTCTTTCTCTTATCAGTCTGGCTACCAAGAGCAACACCTCCATGGCTGTTCCCTGCCCTCCACTGATGGATGTTTCTTTACCCTGGTCTAGTCCTGTGCTTCTCAAACTGGAGCAGGCATCTGGATCACAGGCAGGTCATTTCAGGGCTCCGTTTCTCCATATTCTGGTTCAAAGGAGCTGCCTGGTATCTGATGGTTTGCATTTCCAACAACCTCCTAGGTAGTTCCTGGACCAAAACCTAAGTAGCACCGGTGAGGTCCAACACATCCCCAGATGGTCCAGACAGAAGCAGGGCTGATGGGCTCCCAGCATCCCTAAGCACGTGACTCCTCATAAGTAAGGAAAGCCTGGCCATACTGCTCAGGTGGCTCAACAAGCAGCACTCTCCTTTGGTTCCCCTGGAGTGAGCTGGGGGCTCTCTGCATTACAAATGGAAATGGGTCCAGCAAGGGACTGCTTAAGAAAGCCAGTCCCACCTCCTTCCAGTGACTGCTGGAACTCTCATTAAGTTAGACTCGTGACACGGATCAACTTGGACCCCTGGGTCATTCCTGACACAAGGACAAGAGGAACAGGTACTGATTGCAAGCTTAACGGTTAACAGATGTTTGGGTTGGAATGAGGCTCAGACAGAGAAGAACATCGGGAGAGGGGGAAGCTGATGTGTGTTAAAAATGAGACACAGGGATTTAAATTGTGGCTGAGGGGAGAGGAGGAGGAAGCTTTGGGAAAGAGGAGACACTGATCATTTATTCCCGAGAGCTGTCACCACGATGAGGAACAGCATAATAAAGCTCAGCCTGCGAACTGGCTGAGCCCTTCCGTTAGAGGACTAATACGTAATAAAAATGGGTTTAACAGAAATGGCAGCAACTGTAATCACTTAATCACCAAGTCTCCCCCTTGCATACTTCACTGAATCTTTCGTTTTTTTAAAGCAAAGAGCTTTTAGGGGCTGTCCCTTGGGAGAGGCTGGCAGGGGGACGGGGTGGGGAGAATTACCTCAATAAATCTGCCAGGGGCCAGATGCATTTTTATCACAAACATGATTGGGATCCAGATAACGGAGCAGGCGAGCATCAGCCATCCCAGCACCATGGACCAGTTAGGGTAGTGGTAGGAGCCGTAGGTCATGGGCTCCCACTGGTAAAAGCTGAAGCACAGGATAAACTGGGAATAAAAGAGAAATATAGGCATTAGGGTGGGGAAGTGCAGTGTTCGTTCGACAGGCAGGCGCGGAAGTCCCTCTTATGAGTCTCATGCTTTTGTATCTATTACCTCAGGTTACACCTGCGCTTGCCTGAAGTGAGATTTTCCCAATGAAGGAAGTGAATTTCGGAGAGGGCAGTGACATGCACTCAGCGGCTGACCCCACATTTGCTGTCCCCTGGGAACTGAGCCACACACGTGCACGACTACGAATGCAGCCAGGCTCAGAAGATGAGTGGCCAGGATGTCACCGGCTTAAGGGATCGCTTTTACTTTCCAGAATGATAATCCAGCTTTAGTTACAAGAAAGAAGCCTGTGAGATTTATGTGTTTTAATTTTTAACTTCTTGAATCTGCTTGGCTTGTTCCTTGACCAGGGCATGGCCCACTTCCAGAAGCTGCCACTAAAGCTCGAACCCAAAGTGGTCCCCAAGCAGTGACTGAGCCGGAAGCCCAGTGCTCTAATAAGCTGTGAAGAAGAGAATGCACGGCTGCCCCCTCACCGGACACAAGGAGAACAGGCGTCATCGTCACATGGAGAGCGGAGAACCCTGAGACCAACAGGCTAATCCGGGCTCCCCCACTAATTAGCCCAGGGGCCGTGATGTCTCAGACTTCTCTGCCAGGAGGTGGGTACAGATGGCACCACGTACAGAGCGCACGGGTCGGGGGAGGTTCTGGGAACAACAATCTGGCACTGACTCTACGGCCCCCTTTGCTGTGAGAGTGGTCACGATGCCTTTTCTGCCCACTGTCTCCGCCACCGCAAGCCTGGGCTGGCAAAGGCAGTGAGATCCCCCTGGGGGCTGGGCCCGCAGAGCTGAAAAGGACCAGGGGACACGAGTGCTGAGAACAGTGCGCCTGCAGAGTGGAGGGAGGGCTCCGGCTGCTCCGGAAAGGCCTTTGGGGGGCATTTCCCAGCCAGGACTACGTCAGTCCCAGTGTTTACCCCACCTAAGGTAGCTTCGGCCCAGAATTATCGTCCACTTGTCTCCTGCATCTCCACCTCTCTCGTCCTGTCGTAAGCTACAAAATAACTGCTAGAAAATGATTGCAGGGAATTCTGTCAGGAAAAATAACAGATGGAAGTGTTTTGGGAAAATCCTGAAGCACTATACCAATGTAAAGCATCTGCATTATTGCCACGAAGCCCAGGCTGCTGGAGCAAGCGATTATTTCAATGCAATAATAATTCAATATATTGATTCAAAGCCACACAAGCCTGGAGATAACTGTGGAGGAAAAAATGCTCCTGTGGAAAGAGATGTCCACTTTAGGCCTCTTTTTAAACACTGGCCCCCAAAGTTATAAGATTTATTTAAAAAGTCTATTGAAAGTATGGTCTCATGTAACTATGGAGAACCGGTCCATTTCATTTACTATATAAATAGCAATATATCTGCTTATGTGTGTGCATAACTTGGTAACGTGATCTGCCTGTGTATACAGTAATTCTGTGGGGAATATTTTATAGCTCTATAAATCCATGAAGGCGCGTATAAAAATGATCAATTTTATTTCGGGGGCTCCGAAGCAATTTAAACCTATAATCTTAGCCTGTTCCCCCCATGACACATACCCATTTCACAGAAGGGCAAATGGCAAAATGTAAGCATTGGGTTGTCCTTGGATACCCATTCCTAGGTCCACAAATATCACCTCAAACTTAGGGGCACCAATTTGTTCTTTGCTAACCTTGTGCCCCCTGTGGAGTCAGCTGTGATAAAATCCTGTCCTCCAGGGGGCTTGGCCACGAGTGATGGAGATGTAGCCACGAGTCAGGCCCACTCTGACCCTCTAGCGAATGGCGGCCAAAGCAGGTGCTGGGAATTCACAGGTTGGTGATGACAGTGGAACTGATAATGGAACTGGTTCAAGATACTTTCCAGGGCCTCTACAACTTTCTGACATGAGTTTTCTCATTGACATCAAGTAAGAACACAGCATAGTGGAAGAACTTCCTCAAGAAGCACAGCGAGTCTCTAGAATTCCTCTTTTCTAACATTTTGCTCATAAAGACTAAAACAATTTTAATGCAAGTACATAAAACTAACTCCACTTGGAGACAACAGCCTGGGCTTAGAACATGGGCTTGAAGCCTAGACATCTCTGGACTCAGGTCTTGGCCCCGAGCTCTCCAAGCCTCAGAGCGCATCTACTCAATGGAAAGTGTGGTCATGAACTTTAGAGACAACGTCCATCAAGTGCCTCCCTCACACGGGACCTCACCACAGACAGAGCTACTGAGGACTGTGTGATACGGCTCTGCAGAACAGAGCAAACTTCTCTCAAGCGTAATCTCTTCTAGGACAGCAGGAAAAGGAAGGCAGAAACTAGAAGAAATTCTAACTTGGACTCAGCCAACAGTAAATCACGAGGAGCAGTAACCGAAGGCGATGGCAGAGATGGGCAGAGAGAACACCGGGTGTCCGAAAGCCTGGCAGCTGAAGACACCCCAGGGGCTGTGCTGTCCACCGGCAGGGAACCCCAGTTCCTCACACACATCTTGGTCCCGAGCTCAGCTGGTGGATCTCTCCTGGCTCAGTCCTCTGCTACTCTCATACCCCAAATCGGGCGGGGCTTTTCAGACAAAGCCCAGACTCATTTGCGTGTGACATTCGGGGTCAGCAGGGAGAGGAGTGCCGAGAGGCTCTTCTGTAACAACGTCTAGCTTTTCTGAAAGAAATTGGGGCATTTTGATTAAAACTCCCTCTGTGACAGAAAGAAAGAGAAAAAATGGGGAAAGAAGGATTTCCTTTGCAATTGTATTTTCATCCATTCTATCTTTTATTTTTTTTAATTCTTTACTGATATTTATGATGCATAATTACATTCATTTTGAGAAATATCAAAAAAGACAGCAAATGTTTTTTTAAAAAAAGTATCACTAGAAGATGCATTGCCATTATTTCTCCTCAAAATATTCAAAATACTCTCCCTCGCTTCAAACACATGTATCCTATCATCCTCGGCAATGTGTCTTTTGCCCTCATACGTTTTTTTATTCAAATTTAAACATTCACACTATATTTTGATCACCATTTTTAAATTTCTTGATCCTCCCCCACCATTGCCTTGATCTCCTTCCCCATCTCCGTAAAACACTGTGTCCTTGTCGTGTTTCTTTTTTCAAAGAATAGTATGTGCTTATGCACATAATAATTGTACTTGTTGGTCCTGTTGCATAAGGAAAGAGTAGATCCTAAAGTGGAAGGTCTTAGTCTGGTTTCTACTGCCACCTACTGGGCCAATCAGAGGTTACACCTTCCTTGGGATTTGCCCACGTGACACCTGTAAACCGTGGGATTATAGGAAAGAGGCAGGAGAGGTAGAGAGGAGGGGAAAGCAAGCTCTTCATGAAGGACTGTGCTTGGAATGCAGAGTGAGGAAAAACACGGCTTATGGCAGCTGGCAAAGGCGGCAAGACGTGAATGTAAGTCCCTGCACAGATTTACTGGCCCACGAAAGGCTCTGATCTTTAAAAAGATTAATTTCAGATGGTCCCAAAATGTTGCCTTCACGCCGGAGGATGGCCAGATAGTTCCAAAAGCCAGCAGAATGAACAACAGAGTCTAACGTACTCTCTCAGCTGGAGAGCAGCTGCACCAAGCCACAGCTGGGAGCGTGCATTCCGGAGCAGCTCTCCGCTAGGTACCTCGGGGCTTTAGCTTGCTCATCCGCAGGTGGCGTTACTACAATGCCCCATAGAGTCAGCTGTGGTTTGGATCAGAACGTGCCCCGAATCCTCGCGGGTTCAGAGAGGGGGCTTTCGGAAGGTGACTGGATCGTGGGAGCAAGGTGCTCAGCAGTGGACACACCCACTGAAGAACTCAGAGCTGGCTCGTCTGGTTGGAAGAGGCCACTGGGGGCGTGAACTGAAATGATCTGTCCGGCCCCAGCTTCTCCCTTCTCTCCCTGCTTCCTGGCTAACATGATGAAAGCGGCTCTCCTCTCTGAGACCCTATCACCATGCCCCGAGGCCGGCTGACATAGAGATAATGCTCTCAAAGCCCTGAGCCAAGATAAACCTGTAGGCTTTTAAGTTGTGGATGTCAGGTAGTGTTTCCCAGGGACAGGAAAGTGACTATGAGAGAGAAGCTGAGGGAGACAAATGAGGACCCTTGGCAGAGCCTGAAACACGTTAGCACATGATGCACGTCGCCGTGACTGCCATTTGCAGCCAGCTCAAAAGACAGATCCAGGTAATGGGAAACCCTCCAAGGGCTGCTGCAAACACCCATTCATTAGTCACCGCTCTGCCCCTGACCAGCTGGCTGCCTTTAGGCAAATGTCAGTTTCCTCGCCCAAAAGACAAGGATAACACCCCTTCTACCAGCTTCCCAGATCCAGACGGTGGCGCAGGCACCTTGAAATGTAATCATCGCGTATGCATGCAAAGTGCTAGCCCCCTGAGAAAGTACGCAGTCCTTACAGTTAGAATGGTTGGGGTCACAAATGCCCAGCAGACTTTCCAGAAAATGTTGGGCTGGAATCCAATCATCATCTCTATGTCTTCACAGAATCGTTGCAAACCTGTAAATAAAGAAGCAGAGGAAGTGTGAGGCACAGAGCCCCCAGGATGGGGAGGGGGCAGGCACTAGAGCCCCTCTCTCCAGCACCACTGGCTGAGGAGGGCCCCTGCCTGCTGCCAACTGGACCCCTAAGTATGCAGAGAACATCAGACAAATGACCTGTTGCCAGGAAGATTAGGGCAAATCGCACATCTGAATAGATACTAAATACTTCCTGCGTAAGGTGTGAAGATGTCAGACCACAGGGACATAAAAAGCACAGTTCCAGCCCAGGTGTCCCAGCACGGCCACAGCCTGGAATGCCCCTTTCTGTGGCTGTTTTCTGAGGTGGCCTCCTGTGCTTAGGGACAAGTCTGACAAAACCAATCAGGACTGTGGTCAATAAATAGAGTGTCTTATGAAAGCCTCAGGATTTAGAGCAGAAATCACTGCATGTTGGCTTTCTGTCCCTCACCCTCCCAAGAAAACTTTCCCAGGGAATCCATAGATCTTTGCTCTGCATAAGAGGATTGTGATGTGGAAAAAAAACCAACATAAACCAAGTGGCCATCACTCATTTTGTCTCAACCAAAGGACAGCTATCTTCTTAGTTACTCAGCAACATCACTTAAGTAAAAGACAGAGGAGACAGTTACTGTCCTGGCCCACATAGCCAACCTCCCTACACTCTCTTGGTTCAGGAAGGTTTTCAAACCACCCCTTGAAGGGAAAAGCTGTTGAGGAATGTTTTAGAATCGAATGAGTTCCTACATTCCTTCCGGACTTGTTAGAAGTGTGGCCCTCTCAGAACTGTGGGTCCATAACCCTGAGCAGACCCTAGAGGATCCCAAGTTCAAGTTCCTTTGTACTCAGCAGTTCTGAGAATGCATCCAGCTATACATTCAAGCTATGAGCCCCTTGTGGAGAAAAGGAAACCCTAGTGCTCTCGAGTCTTGGTGGGAATATAATTAGTACAGCCGTTGTGGAAAACCTTCCAGAGGTTTCTCAAAGAAATTAAAAATAAAGTTACCACAGGATTCAGCAATCCTACTCCTGGGGATATAGTGAAAGGATTTGAAATCAGTATGCCAAAGAGACACCCGCACTCCCTGTTTACTGCAGCATGATTCACAACAGACCTGAACCACTGATGGGTGAATAAAGAAAATGTGATCCAAACATACACAAACACATATAGAAAGACTACGCACACACACGCACACACACATGTTTATACGATATTTAGCTCTTACAAAGAGGGAAATTACAACCTATGCAGCCACTTCAGTAGAACTGGAGGACATTATGCCGTAGGAAATCAGCCGGACACAGAAGGACAATTACTACAGGAACTCATTTATACATGGAATCTTTCAAAGTGGACTCACAAGAGCAGAGAGCAGAATGATGGTAGCCAGAGGCTAAGGGACAGGGTGCCGGGTGATGTTGAGCAAGGGGTACAAAGCTAGGGGAAAATGCTAAGGATTTGAGGTGATGGTTACACCAAGTAGCTTGACTCAGTATCCCGCTTCGCACATATACATCACTGTACCACACTGCATCCCGTAAAAATACAAAGCCATAACTTGTCAGCATGCAATAAAGCAAAGATACGTGCTTAGAATTTTAAAAATAAGTGTTGCTTCTCCTATGTATGTTATACCTTAATTGTAAAGTTTAGCAGAAAAAGGCCACTCCAGCCGTCAAAATCATGATGCTGGGATCATTGATGGCCCTCAGTGTCTAGGATTTGCTTCTGTTTCCTGTTAGGCTCGGAGCAGAACATCAGCGGAGCCCCCATCACTGAACCTCTGGGTCTCCTGGACAGAAGCCATCACAGAACACAGCCTGGAAGAGGGGACTTCTGGGAGCACCCAAAGCCACGTCTCACCAGTCGCTCCATAGCTTCTTGCTGCAGATGAGTTTGCTGCTCTACTTAAAGGCAAATCTGATCGTGGTGCAGGCGACACCACTGGACCAGGGCTGGCATCTGAACTTGCACCCCAGTGCTGCACCGAATGCACTGTGTCAACTTCCCCTCTCTGAGCTTCCTTTTTTTATTGACAGGACTGGGCCAAGTGAGCACTTGGGATCTGCTCAGGATGTAAAGGTTCCGGGTTGCACCCTTGGGTCAACAGGCAAGAAATGGTAGCTCTCAACCGCAAACTTTACCACCTTTGGGTTGATTTGTTTGCTTCCTTTAGGTTGTTTTCTTTTTTGGTACCGGGAATTGAACTCAGGTCCTTGCGCTTGCAAGGCAAGCCACCAAACCGCTGAGCTAAATCCCCAGCCCTTCCTTTAGTTTTTTATCAAATGCCCTTGGATGAGTGACTTCTAGATGCTATGCCCCATAAATGTAAGTGAGCAGAGAGAACCAAAGAAATGAAAGTCAAAGTTGAAGCCTTCAAAATCACACCAAAACACTAAAAGCAGCCCTCAGTTCTGAGAGACAGAGAAAGGATTCTAGAAACTTCTGCAGTTAACATCAATCCTGTAGCCCATTCTTCCTCCCCAGTAAACCATCCCCAAGAGATGATGACATTAATGTGACAGGGTCGGGGGTCAGACCTAAGGAAGACAACCAGCAGCCTCCTCTCAGAGGAAGGAGACCATGGCAACTTGTTCAAGCTTCCCAGAAAGGAAAGGAGTGGCACCCCACCCACTGTGGGAAGGGAGGAGGGGTGCTCAGTTCGCAACAAGAGGCACCTTGGTGCAGAGGCACAGTCCCAGGAGAGAGAGTGAAAGCGTGAGTCCTGGGGCCATTTTAGACCCAGAAAGTCATCTTCCTCTTTGGGCCTCCCATGGGGGATGAGGACACCTAAACTCTGCCTCAGACAGCTCCAGGTCCAGTGACTGCCGTCTGTTCTGCCAATCTGTAGGCTGGCCCTACAGATGGAGCCTAGGGGCACCAGCTGGGGGCTACCAGCTGACCCTGTGCCCACTGCTAAGGCAGGCTCTCAGAGTGCCCAGCCTCTGCCTCCCTCCAGTGCCCATCCAGCCCAGTCCTCAAGTGCCCCTGGCTCACAACCAAGTCCCCGCCCGAGTCCCTAGTGTGTCTGTGGCCATCTTCACCTTAGGCCATTGTTCAGAGGGCTTCTCCTGCCTGCTGTGTCCCGCTGACCCAGGTCCATCTGGCCTTCAAGTCCTAACTCATAACAAGCAAATGGTTCAGGGAGCCTTGAGCGTGTGGGAGAGATCTGTGTGCTGCATGACTTTTAAGTCTGGAGGGTGAAACAGCAAGTGATCAGGCCCCAGACGGGCTCTGAGCAGCTGCTTCTCCATGATTAGTCCTAATTAGCAGGGAAACAGGAGGCTGCAGGAAGGGGGTTGAACTCATGGCGGCTGCTCTAGACTCAATAAACAGAAGTGAGATTCAGAAATCAGTCTCCACCACAACCACACACAGCCAACCGTCTGGAACTGTGCAGTCAAGGACCTGCTTCAACTGACTAACCCGTCGCTTTCCCTGTGCAACTCGGGGGCTCCTGCCTTTGTAAACCATACTCAGCCCTGCTCTGGACAGAATCTTGGGTGGGGGGTGCTCAGGGTGGGGCTGGGGGTCCTGGATCTTGAGTTGTGCAGAGGCCCAGGCCCTCTGCCCAGAAGGATGCTACACCCGGATGACCTCCTGCCACCACCTGGGAGTTCTTAATTTTTTAACAGGGGAGTCCCCATTTTCATTTTATATTAGGTCCTGCAAATTACATCTCAGTCCTGTGTGTTCCTATGTACAAGTTATTCATTTAGGGTTAGTGTGAAATCCCCTACCTGAGACTCAAAGCCTTCTTTGCCTTGATTGGGAATTCAGCTTACCACGCCCTAAGTCTCAATGTTCATTCCTTTTCTATCATTTATCTCTGCGATGCTACCTTCTCAAGGCGTTACTGACCAGTCAGGCCCCGCTTTTGCTCTGGGCAGCACAGGAGTTCTCAACCGGGGAGCCACATTTAGCATTGATCTTCTCTGTATCTTCGGCATATTTTCTCTTCTTTGCTAGCTAGTTGACAATCTCCACGAATGAAGGAAGTTACCCGCCTCCTCCCTGTTTTGACTGGAGCCCACAGGGCACACAGGAAGCACTTCATAAATACCTTTCCACATATTTACCTGCATGAGTTATTAATGGACTAAAGTCTCTTCTTGCTAATGTTTACTGAGTTCCTGCCAGCAGAGCTTGGGAATCTTCCATCCTAAAGTGGAAGGTATATACAGTGCCATTTCAGCCAAAAACATCAGTGAACATTGAGGGGTCTGTAGAGTTCCAAGGGGTCTTTTCGTTTCTTGTTGGCTTGTTTTCATTTTATTTGGTACTTTAAAAAATCCTACTGAGTACAGCTAGGAGGATGAGGCAGCAGGAACTGAAAGAAGACTTATTCCATCTTGTACAAGCCACAGCCCAGTGGGACTCTAACACCCCACACCAGGTGTGCACAGAGACAATCCAGGGGTGAGACTGTTGTGGGAATCGACCCACACTGTCTCTTGAAGCAGGGGAGTCAGCAGGCAAGGCACCTGGCTCCTTGAGCTAGAAAGTCTCTGGATTGGCTCCCAGGAAAATGCGAATTACCTTTTCAAAGTGTTTCTTCTTTGGTAAAAGCCGGTGAATGCCACCTTTAAACCTGAAGATCTCCTCCCTGGCCTTTCAATCTAATGATGAAACTTGAAAATCATACCATCTGTATATTAGGCAGTAGAATGGCATCCTCAGTAGTCTAGAGATTATTATTATTATTATTAGGAACAAGTAGAGAGCACAGAACCTACAACTCGCTTGCTTATTTCTGAAATTCTGCAGCCAGGAAAACAATGCATCAAATCAATCAGGTTTGTTTTTGCTCTTTGCAAAGGTTTGTGTTCAAGTGCTTTATGCTAACTTGCTACTGGTTTGGTGCCTAAAGAAAGCTCTGCCTCCAGGAATACAATTCACTTATCTGCACAAGCTCTTTTGTCACCTCTAACAGCTCTGTTAGCCAATCTCCCTGTTTCTTGCTGAGATTTATTTCTTCACGCTCCACCTGGATCTGAGTCTAGCCTGCTGGTGTGAGGGTTGTGACCGCTGGCCCAATACCAGCACCCTTAGGGACCAGAGAGTTTCCTGTCCCCAGTAAATTTAGCAAAGCTCAGGGGCTGAAGCATTCAGGGTTTATTTATTCCTTCCAAACCAAGAGATCTAGTGCCAGATATATATGAGGGAGGAAAAACAAAGGCATTTGTCGTCTAAAAACAGAGATGTTAAAAGGTTTCTACTTAATGATGCTTTTAAACCACACTGAATGGGGCCTGTTCTACAGGAAAGATATGTGTGTGTGCGTGTACGTGTGTGTGTGTGTGTGTGTGTGTGTGTGTGTGTGTGTGTGGAAATGTGATTTCTGTGGCAATCAAAGTTAGGAGATAGGTAAATGAGGAGGTAAATGTGGTAACTGTCTGCAAAGAAGCTGCTACCCTGACTCTCCCAATGGACTGTGCGCAGACCTCAGCTTGTGTGGGGACCCACCAGGGGCCAAATTTCCAGAGGCGGTTCTCAGAGGCCTCGTCCTGCCTTAGTTTTGTTGTCTGGGTAAAAAGGTAAGATTCAGCACCATGGTTCTCACTGGGTTTCTGTCATTCTGCTCGGGTTAAAAAAGCACTTTGAAGCTTTGCCCTCCCTCTGACACCAGATCTTCAATCCCAGCATCACTGCGGGGCACCAGCTGTTTTATCAGCCAGAAACATTGGCAGCCTGGGCTCTGATCTCATCAGGACAGCTGGCGTGCCTGCCCACTCTTCTTGCCAGGAACTAAACTCTCCCTGCAGTGGGGATGTGATCTCCAAGTTGAGAAAATGTCCCCTTCAACCAACACCCAAAAATGATTGCAAGATCTTGCTGTTTCTGAGGTTCTTGGTTTTCCCATCTTGATGCCTGCACATCCTCCTCCATCTTTTTAATGTGTTTTCAAAGAAAGCAAGAAGCTGCTGAGCAGCTGTTGGGTGGGAAGCTCACAATTAGATTAAAAGTGGGATGTGCATATCAAAGACGCACAGAAGTTAACCTGGGCTCCCGTTTTAAAGAGTAGAGCTGTGCAGATACCTCCAGCCTGGACTTCTCTTCCTTTGGATTTAGAGGATGCATCTGACAGTACTCACCTGCTGTGCTCCAAGGGATACCTGCTTTTGTTTGAAGCTTAGAGCACATAACTGTCTCTTTTTGAGTTTGAAACACAGTTAGATAGTCTGAACTGGAACTTTTCACCACCACCCCTGATGTTTGCTATGGTGGCCTTATCTATCTCAGGGAGCCCTGAGTCTAGAGACAGTTCTCAGCAGACTTCCAGGCATAAAGAAAGCAGTAGCACTGAGAATCAAGTAGGGTTTCCTTGCGCTGGCCAACTTTGCACACAAGGACCAGGAGACCCGTTGAAACCTCAAGGACAAATACCTTCACACAAAGGGCAAAGATGACACCTGCTGGCCAGCCTGCTGGCTCAGTGTTCTTGATAAAGAGTGGCACTGATTACAGGATGCAGGTTGCTATGGTAATGGTGGGAAGGTAATCCGTAAAGGACCTGAAAGTTCATTCCTGGGAAAGCTGAGTCTGAGATACTGCACCACAAGCTCCACTGGTAAGAAGACAACTTGCCCAGGCCCCGTGAGCCAAGTCTCTCTGCTCCCACTACAGTGTCCAGAAACCAGTGGTGAGGCTGCACCATACTTCAAGCTACATGAACTCCATAGCTAGACCACGATTTCACACCTGCAAGATAACATCTCCTCCTGTAGCTGACCCCTGTTCCCAGATGTTAACTATTCACCTGCCAGACCACACCGAGGCCAGGGCCTAGAGATGTCTGAGTTTCACCATCAGTCACATTTGGCCTCTCTATGAAATCTGGATCATGGTGGTTCTGAGGCGAGCTTGGAAGTAAAGACGCAATTGTAATCCCATCATTGTCTTGCTGATAAGGGAACTCTGCTGGCCAGGGGTGGCTCACGAACCCCGAGGCACTGCCTCGCCTGCAGGCACAGCGACTCCCTTACCGTACACGTAGGAGATCCCCACGAGCTCGAAGATGGCAATGATAACGAGGGCATAGGAGGCAGCGTATGTGTCCACGAGCTGGAACATGTAAATTCCACCCTAAGGAGAGAGACACAGGCAACATCAAGTGGGCCCTGGAGCTGAGCTCTCTCCTTCCACTTCTGAAGCCAAGCATCCCCATCTTAAGGACTCAATCTCTCCTCTCTTCCCAAAAGCAATAACCTTCACTTGGCCAGGTACGTAACCTGGAGACTTTGCCAGGTTAGCAAAGCATTTCCCTGACCTGCTCTGAGTTCATCAACTGAACAAGCACCCAGAAAAGTGATTTAACGTCTTGCTTTTCAAAGATGAAGGTCAACATCTGAAGAGGTATATATGAAAGTAGCCAGGATGTTTTGGTTTTGTTTAAGCAAGCAACGATCCTTTGCACCCATGTAGCTGCATGCGATTGCCCTTCATATGACCTTTAAATTTTGCTGGACATCCTGCATGCTTTCCAACGTTTCTCTACCTTATTCTTTAAATCTCCTGACAACAGATAAAGCTTAGAAACCAACTCATTCAAATGAATCATTTTACAGATGGAGAAATTAAGGCCAGAGCAGTGATTTGCTCCAGGTCACAGAGACGGCAAGAGCAATGTGCACACTGAATGAGCCAACGCTCCACTCACGGAGACGCGTGGACTAGAAGAGGCTTGAGTGACTGCAGAGCACAATGTGTGTTGAGTGACAGATAGCCTGGCAATATGTCTAGCTGGCAAATCTGGGGTTTTATGTTTTCCTTATCTTGAAGTAGGACACACCTGTCTTGTTGGCTCAAGAAGGCTACATCTTAATTACAAAAATGCCAGAAGCATCCCTGGTGGCCAAGATGACATATTTCCTTCTGTGGTCAGAATCCCTAACCAACTGGAGCTGTTGACATGGAAATAGCGATGTCTTGGCTAAGCCTATGAGGTCTGAGAGCTAAGGGTAAAGGGACAGGGAGCCATCGGCTCTCACCCACCTGGCCCACCCAAGGCTGAGCCCAGCACCTCTCACCTGAGTGATCATTGGGAAGCCCATGATGAAGAAACAAATGCAGCAGCCCAGGGTAAAGACGGGCTTGTGCGTGCGCAGGTACTTGGGGAACTCATCTGAGATGGACGTCACTATGGTCTCAATGGTGGCAAACTGGAACAATGTCAGAAAAGCATCTCAGTGCAACTGCCCACTCGCAGGGCTCTCTGCGCGTCTCACCAGGGGTAGCTGTGTCTACGTTAGGTTTGGTTTTGAGGATGGCTTTCTATGTGGGGTCTGCAAGACCTTTGAGGGGCGCAACCCACAAGGCTATATGAGAGAGCTCGAGCAGGGTGTGACCTTCGGACATCATGCTTCTAGTCCCCAGAGGACACACTCATTCTTATCCATCAGGGCATTCTAAGCTTTGTTTTGTATTCATGAGATGTAAATTCCTCTTCTCCAGTTACCTCACACTTGATCTTCTACCTGAGGAAAAACCCTCCTTGCACCCAATGACTAAACTCTGAGGCTGTCAGCATGATTTGTAGTAGTCTCGGCCCCACCGCGATGCCCCTAAAATTGACTTCATATTATCCTCCCTTATCCAGCCCCACAGAATGTGCTGTGGCAAAATGACGCCAAGGGTGGAAGTACGCAGGCTAAAGCCTGGCACAGAGAACAGGGAGAGGGAAAGGCGAGACAACACCTTCTCTGTACCATCACACGAGCACCAAAAATGCAGCGTTATCCCCAGCTCACCATCCCCACCCTGCTCAGGGGACACCTTCCGGCACCCTTAACCTTCCCTAAATGCTGGACCCAGGGCCCAGGAAAGGGGTCTTCAGAAGGAGCCTGGGACAGGACTGAAAGGCGAAGGGAATCACCATCGTGTCAAGTCCAAGAGTGAGGAGCATCAGGAAAAAGATAATGGCCCAGAACGGAGAGAGGGGCAGCCTGGTTAAGGCTTCTGGGTAAACCACAAATGCAATGCCCGGCCCTGGAAGGAAGAGGAGAAACAATTATGGTCAGGCCCAGCTCGAAGTCCCTCTTCCCAGAGTCCACAAGGCCTCCTCTCCACCCAGATCCTGAATTATTACTTATCTCATGCGGCTTCCACTGTTTGTCATTAACTTTACTCACCTCCCCACATATCTAAGATCGGGCTACCTCTCATGCAAACAGCATGAGAAACCATATTTTTTATTGGATGAGTAGAAGGTAGACATAACAATTACACTCTAAAATAGTGATTCTCAATCCAGGTGGATGCAGTAGTTTATATCTAGATGTCGCCCCAAAGATAAGGCTCGGGGGGGTGACTGGATCACAGCAACGTAATACTCACCTGTGGATTGAGGTCATTGATGAGTTACAGCTAAAAGTGATGGTGGGAGGTGAGGCCCGGCTGGAGGAGGTGGCCACTGGGGGCGTGGCCGGGAAGAGTCTATCTCTTCCCCTCCTCTTCCCTGGGTCTTTCCCTCTCCTTCCTGCTGCCCTGCCGATGGTAAACTGAACAAACTGTGAGCCAAAATAAACCTCTCTTTCTTTAGACCTAGAGATTGGGTATTTTGTCTCCGTAAAGCCAGGGAGATGCGTGGTAAAGTCTGAAGACATTTCTGAGTCTCACAACTGGGATAGGGTAGGATATTTACTGCCATCTAGTGGGTAGAGCCAAGGAATACGACTCCGCATTCTCTAGGACAGCAGACAGCCTGCCACTGACAAAGGAAAAACCAGCCCAATGCTACTAGTGCCGATGTTGGGAATCCCCACTCTGAAGGTTGGAATGGACCAGAATGACCTGTCTTCCCCCGTAACTACACTCCCTCCTAGTCAGCTCTCGAGGGAAGCCATTCACATTCAATATGCCTGTGTCTAACACTTTTAGGAGCTTGCCCTCCTTGATAAAGATGGGGCTCCATCAGCCCACTGGAAAATGGTTAGAGAAGAGGAACAGAGTGCCTTGGAGTTGAGTTTGGTCTCTAAAGGGCAGACAGATCTGGTCCACATCCAGACACCGTCATTTCCCAGCCATGCAACCCTAGGCAAGTTTCTATAAGCCTCCTTTGCCCATCTATAAAACAAGAATAGCAATAATTCCTCAGAGTATGGTCATGAGGAAGGAGAAAACAAAAACTGCCTGATACATCATCAACACTCACAGAAGGCCAGCTTTTATTATGAGTGAACCATGCACTTGGCAGCTAGAGGTTTCGGTTGAGGCTGTTTTAAGAATACCACATGCTTCCTGGTGGGGGCGTCTGAGCCAGTTTTCTCAGCTATGAGAAAGCCCTGCCAGCCCTTCCTGCCTGCCTCGGTCTCGCTGGGAAGATCACGGTAACCAAGTGCATACAGACAAGGCAGGTGCACGCTCCTTTACAAGGAGGAGGCTAAATGATAGCGCACAGAGACAAGCAAATGTGGGCACAGGGACATGCCTCAGCCTGTGCACATCTGGAAGCCAGAAATCCCAGCACCTGGAGTTTTTATAACCAAGCATAACAGCACTTTTTCAAACTGGAATTTATCAGGTTGTTAGTTCCTAGTGTTACCTGAGGCCTCCGGGTATTTGAAATATAAAAGCCTTGAATGCCTAAGATAGCCCCACTTTATGCATTTATTGAACAGGCTGTACAGCCAGCCTCCAAAGGCTCCTCTCTGAACTACAAAAGAAAAGGCTGCATTAAACTACAGTTCAGAACAGGTCTCAGATGCATAGCAAGGCAGCCAGCACTGTGCCATGGCACTGCCAGGGACCTCAGCAGTTGCCTGGACAGGATCAGACCCTTTGGGAGATACTGCTTTGGGGGGGTGTGGTTTTAAAATCCTGCTTCAATTCCAGCTGCCCCCACTTTTTTCGAGCAATGGTACAGCAAATTCCACTTGCCCACGGTACCCGGAGAACAGCATCACTGAGGAAATAACACTGTTGAATATTTAACCATGAGTACAGGTCTGTCTGATGGGGCTGAGTCCTGTGTCTCTCCACCCACACTGGGAGACGGCACAGCCCGGTGGCCGGAGAGCGGGCTCCATTACCTCCCCCTAGTGGGGGGCTTCAGGTGAGTCACCTGCTCTCTGTGACAGACCTAAGCTTCCTTATCCGTGCAAGGGAGATGGTAACAGTACTCACCCTCAGTGCACTCGGTGAGAATTAAGCAGTAAAGGGCTTAGAACATTCCTGTGACAGTAGGAACTCGGTAGACACAAAGCACTGCTACTCTTCCCACAGAAGAGGGGGGGGGCGACCTCTGCCCACAGCAATTTGCAGGGACAGAGATGTGACAGTGGGAGCCTTCCTTACCCTGGGACAGCTCAAGAGCTCTGGCCACCAGGAGCTCTGGCCGAGGCAACACATCAGTTGGGTGATGCCCATCCCAACTGGAGTGAGTCCCCCAGGACACAGCATCGGAACTTTGGGCAGCAGGGGTGGGATGCAGGCAACAGACAGGTATTGGGGTGTAGGTTGGGTGGAATGGCTTGTTCCAAGGTGTTCATTTTGACCCTAAGGGTCTCTGAGCTTCTTGAGGTGAGGGAACCGAGGTGGCATATCCTAGCAGCCTGGTTAGTTGAGAGTTAGTCGTACCTAAGAACTGAATAAAATAAAAATAAAATAAAAGAGCTAAGGATGGGGGGCCGGGGATTTAGCTCAGTGGTTCTGCCACCTGCTTAGCAAATGCAAAGTTTGATACCCCGCACCAAAAAAAAAAAAAAAAAAAAGC